CTTTGGGCCTCGCTGTGGTATCAGCAAAAGGTGGCGCACAGGGGATGAAGGACAGTGACAGGGACCCTGTAATGCAGTCACTGAATTTGGGAAAACACCAGTGAAAAAGCCGCAATCCTATGGTTTTAGAACTCCAATTGTAAGTGGTGTTCTATTTGATTTTCTGAGACAGGGTCCTGCCATGGAACCCGGGCTGGCCTTGAACTCACAGTGCTCCTCTGGCTTCAGCCTCCGGGTGCTGTAAACATTATTCTAATAAAAGCATTAGTAATTCATTAGCTTCCTAGAGACATTTCTTATTTCCTTAAACCCCACTTCAAACCATTCTCTACACGAGGTAGGTCTTTCCAGGGTGAAGTTATGGTGAGAATGTAAGCCGGCCAAATCCAGTTAGAGAGCTGACAGCAACACCATACACAGAACCACAGAGGGAGGGGAGAAGAGGGATGCGTAGAATTATTTCACTGCTCAAGCAGTGATTGGTGCTGATGTTCTGAAGCGACACACAGTGCTGCGGACACGCAGGACGCGGAGGAGATGCTGCTGTGAGTGCCAACAGGCAGGCGAGAGACACGAGGACCCGTCCCCCCCTGCCCGAACCTCAGGCTGTGGGAGTGTTGGCAGACCAAAGAGGAAGAAAAGTCACAGAAACTTAGGTCTCTGTCCTCAACTGTTTCCTGTGTGGCAAAATTCCTGATCTTGTGGTGAGCGATGGACCATGGATGAACTTTATCTTCTCTCGCAGATCGGACCCGTCATCAGCCAGGTCTGTTTGCTACAGTGGTTCTCCAATTCTGAAATGGCCCTGCTCTCTCTCCTACAGCTTTTATCTAGAGATTCATTTCATTTTTTTCCCTATTTCTTTTACTTTTTGGTCCTGTGAATTCAACCTGGGGCCTTCCACAGATAAATACATGTTCCACCACTGAGCCCCAACCCCCAGCCATAAGGATTAATTTCAGTCAAGCTAGAAGAATTCATAGGAGAAAGAGCCAGGCTAAAATAACTTTTGCTGAAGTGTGAGTGGCTACCCCCCCCCCAGATCTTCCAGTGATATTTTATTGTAGTTGAGCTACGGAGCCAATTCTAACCCTGCTGGGTAAGACCCGAGGTGATGGACCTGCTGCTGCTTCCCTACTCCTACCTCACCAGATGTGACTCCCCCCACCCAAGATGCCTCAGCTGGGGCTGGCGACCTTCTTGTTCTCCACAGATCCACTTCCTGTGTGCTTTTCCACTAGGGCACCTTATTGTTACTGAGCCGATCCCTGTGCATTCGCTTGCAGAGACCGGCTTTCTAGGGTAAGGAGTAAGGCGGGGCAAACGCAGAGAATGTGCGGGAGATGCCAGAGCCTTGGGCAGCAAGCAGGTCTCCGAGAAAGCAGTGTCCCAACCTGACACCAGCGTGTGTGTGTGTGCACGTGTGCGCGCGTGCGCATGGCTGTGCCCAGCCTGGCTCTGTAGGGCACGTGAGGGGAGCTGGGTCCACATATGCTCACATCAGCAGCACCACCCTTCTGGACAATGAGGAGAGTGCCAGTGGCTCTGTACGAGAAGGTGCAGGTGAGGAAAGAACCTAAAAGGGAGCAGTGTGGTATGTATTAGCAGTGTGTGATGCTGGGGTCGGGCCCAGAGCCCAAGGGGCTCCTCTGTACCCCTCAGCGACCCTGACCCCTATTCCTTCCAAGATTCCTGTGTGCAGTAGGAGGGGCCACTCACAAAGATGTGCATGGATCCGCCCTTGTACTGTGCATTTGGTTTTGAGACAGGGTTCACTCTGGTCGTGCTCGCTGTGGTCAGGCTCGCTGTGGTCGTGCTCGCTGTGGTCAGGCTCGCTGTGGTCAGGCTCGCTGTGGTCGGGCTGGCCTCAGCCTTGTGGGGACGCAGTGGTGCAATTCAACCCCGGCCCCTCCAGGCTCTGAGGTGAGCTGCTCCGACCTCTCGTGGATGCAGGGACAGAGGCTGCTCTGACCTGGCTCTAACCTCTCCTCTTAGTGAGCCAAGCCCGCCTATATGGCAGTCGGTTCTGATTCATTGATTATCTTACTGGATCTATTGACAGTGGAGCTGAGACTCGAACCCAGGCCCTTGTTCTTATGAGTTGGGCTCTGCCCCAGGCCACATACTAGCCTGACTCTGCTTGCTTATTTATTTAGTGGCCTGCCCTGGGGGCAGGGCTGGTGTGGCTACATCCCTGGGATTGAACTGTGGTCTATGCACTTGCCTAAGCTTGCCTAAGCAGGCACTTTAGATTGCTGAGCTGTCTCACCAGACCCAATTTTAATTAAAACATTTTTGTTAATATATTTGCAGTACATAATGTTTATTTTCAACTTGGGGTGTAGGTACATGCACTGTATGTATATGTATATGGTCATGTCTTTTGTTGTTGTTTCATTTTTTTGAGATCGTGTCTTGCTGTGTATACATACCAGGCTGGCTTCCGAATTCTCAGGGCTCCTCCTGCCTCAGCCTCGAGAGTGCTGAGCTCACAGGAGTGCACCACCACCCTGGCTTATGCTTACAACATTCTGAGACGGCACTGCAGCTCAAGCTCTGGGGTTCATGCGGCCTAGTTCCTCCCCTGTCCTCCCTCCCTGAGTGCACGGAGCAGGCCGGAGGTGGACACAAGCCTCCTTGGATAGACTGTTCCTGGGGCAGACACCTGGCACCCCATGAAGGTCTCATAGTGCTGGGAGCGAGGAGGGCAGAGCCCCAGGCCGGGTGCCTCGGACCCAGCATTTGCCAGGCAGAGCCCAGGCTGTTGCGGCCGGGAGAGTAAGGGCTTCTTTTTTGCAAGAACCCAGCTTTGGTGGCAATCCAGAAAGCTTTCAAAGGAAGGGTTTGTAAACATTTCCTTTTCCCTGGAGGAGCTCTTTTTGTTAAGGGGTTCACCTTTGCACCAGGGTGCTGCCAACGGTCTGGACAAGGTGGCCTTGAAGCTTTGGTGAAACTGTGTTGCCCCCTGGTGTCTGTGAGCTGTCATTACGCCACCATCCAGCAAGCCCATGAAGATGCAGAGCCCAGGAGTGGCCTGGAACTGCCTGCACTCCTTTTGCCTCAGGGTCCAGAGAGCTGGGATTGCAGGTGTAAACCACCAGGCTTGGTGCCAGAGGATTTTTTTTCTATTTTTTTTTTTTTAAATTGAGAAACAAATAGCAATGAGACAGCTTCAAAACTGATTAATAGGACAGTTTCAATAATTAATACATTGTACATTGTTATCTTCTTAGTGACCAAAGGATTTTTAAAACATTATCAACACTATATATCTAGTGGACACATGTGTGCACACATGCACACAAATTTGCTTGCTCACTTCTCTTCCTTAAATTAGCGAGAAGCAGGGAACCCTGGGTATCTCTGGGACTGTTAGGGACCCTTGCTTCCGCCCAAGGCTCCTGATTCCCCCTTCTAG